TGGAGTGGTGGGGGGTGGGAGGGATGGGGTGGCTGGGTGATAGACATTGGGGAGGGTATGTGCTATGGTGAGCACTGTGAATTGTGTAAGACTGTTGAATCACAGACCTGTACCTCTGAAACAAATAATACATTATATGTTAAAAAAAAAGAAGATAGTAGGGAAAAATGAAGGGGGGGAAATCAGAGGCGGAGACGAACCATGAGAGACTATGGACTCTGAGAAACAAACTGAGGGTTCTAGAAGGGAGGGGGTGGGGGAATGGGTTAGCCTGGTGATGGGTATTAAAGAGGGCATGTACTGCATGAAGCACTGGGTGTTTTACGCAAACAATGAATCATGGAACACTACATCAAAAACTAATGATGTAATGTATGGTGATTAACAGAACATAATAAAAAAAATCTGAAAAAAATAAACTTGAATTCACAATGAATAAATTTTTATATAAGTTATGAATATTTTTAACACAGGTATGTCCCATGCAATATTTAGGACATATTTATACTAAAAAACATATTCTTTGTTTATCTGAAATTCAAATTTAACTGAATACCCTGTGTTTTATTTGCCTACCCTACAAATGTCAAGTAATTCCTTTGATCTATGTGTGCTGTGAACATTTCAAACCATTGACTCAAGAGCAATTTTTATAGATGTACTTACTAATTTTTTTATAAATGTACTAATTTCTCAGCATGACTCTTCTAATTTTTATATAAACTATTGGATTAATTATTCCCATTCCTGCCTTTTTATTGCTTCCAAATATTACATGCAATGATAAGATACTTTCTCCCCAAAATTCATTTTTATCACCTATGTTTTGGATAAAATGTATACCATACACACAGCCCCTTTTTGGTAGGTAGCAAAAAGATGTACCTTGAAAAGTCATCAGCTGTAATTTTATAACTACAAAAAGTCCTGCTGTCTTACAGGTAAGGGCCCATCCATTTACGCTCCTCTCCATGTAGGACTGAGCCGGTTAGTACGCGATTGGGACACCAGTTGGTGGGTTTTTCAGTTACCAACACATCACATGGTGGCAGCTCTGACACCGTCTGGATGAACATAGGTCCTTGTGCCTGTCTGTCCCTTCAGCACTATACCCCCTAAGACAACACCGAAATACATCTTTTAGAAGACAACTATTACAAACCCTTCCAATTATAGATCTCAGGCAGTGGGGAAGAATGCATTCCTGTGTTGAAAGGAACTGTGAGCCCCTGGTCTGAGAGGTCCCCCAGGACTATTTGCTCCCAGTAGGAAGACAGTTGAAGATCAAAGAGGAGGCTCCTCGCTTTTACCTGGAGTGGCACCACCCTGGACATCAGGTGATCAAAATAAAGGTCCACTGCTTCGGTGAAGCCCTTGTAAGTCGTTCTCAGCCTCATGCCAGAATCTTGGAGTAACCAGCTTGAATAAAAGGGGGGTGGGAATTAGTTGCACTGCTTGTGGGTTTGTTCTGGGCAGGATGATGGTGGGGAGAAAAGAAGCAGCTTCAGAGTCTTGGGGGGAGTGGGGCCATTCCCACCCCACTACCTCCACTCAGCCAGGAGCAGGAGATTGTGCAAACAGATCCAGGGGCAAACTGCTACAGCTCCAGCCCTGCACTCTGCACTGCTTCCCTACGAAAAGACAACCAGCATTGCTAGGGATTTTATTTCCAGCTTTGTGGCTATAGGTCTGGCTGCCAGTCAGAGCGAGAAAAGCTTTTCACTGAACTCAAGCCCAGTGTTAAAGCATTTATTCTAACATCTCCTTACAAAGGGGTGAAGCCAAAGGGGTTAAGGAATCACTAGGGCCAGATGCAACCTTCCAGTGTCACCCAGAAAACCAGGCCTGACACAGAGGCCATGAGAGGCTAATCCCACTTCTCCCCACTTCTCTCTAGGCTGACCCAGGGGGCTCATTAGCATCAGCCTCCTCAGCTCTTCAGAGCTCAGCTCAGGGGAGTTGCTGATGAGCAAGAAGGTAAATGCTTCCCACAACCTGTCCATTGTGATTGTATTCCCCAGGTGTACACAGATCATTCCTTCCAGAGCTGGAGTCAGGAACTTTTCCTTCTCACTTGAAATTCTGAGAAAACACTTATATTTTCTTATAAAGGCTCTGATGCTTCTTGTCCTAATTTGGAAGTCCTGAACAGGGTCAGAAAATTATCAATTTATGTTAGGTAAAAATGTTTAAGGAGAGAGCAGCTTTCTCTAGATACCTCCACCCTCCATCTCACCTAAAAGGGTCTAGCTTATCAACACTGGGTCTCTGCTTGTTTGGGCCTCCCTGGGGTGTGCCCATGTGCCAGGACCTGAATGGACAGTGCTGCCCAGGAGGAGGGCTGAGTGCTGGAGCTCCCGCTGCTTCTAAGCCAACACTTAAATCCTGTCCTCCCCCTGGCAGCTCCGGCTGAGCCAGAGGACATCGCTGACACACAGATTTCTAATCCCTAGGTGCGGGGGGAGGGCACACTGGCTGTGTGCAGAGCCTTGTCAAGGGCACAGAGACAGAGAAGTGATCCTAGAGAGTGAAGGAGATGGAGATAGAGCCTGCTTAGGATCCCTAGGGAGGGGATGGGTCGCTCTGGAGACGGGAGAGAAAACAAGGCCTGGCCTGGTGGCTGTGCTGTGGGGAGAGGCCATTCCCGAAGAAGACCACAAGGCAAACAGGACCAGCCTTCTTCCCCCTTGGGGCGGCATCGGGTAGGAAGAAAGTGGATCTAACCGTCTGGAACACCCTGAGGATGGGAAAGATTATGCCTATTAAAAGAAAGTCTTTTGTTGAAAATTAATGACAGTAATGATGAGGACAAGGAATGAATGTGGTACCAGGTGACTACCGTCCAGATTTCTACTCCATAATTCATTAAAGCCTGAGATTTGAAGATAAAACAAAACAAAAACAATAATTTGTTTCTCTTATACTTTATCAAATAAAGTGACATCATTTAAAATGGCCTCCTTTGGGCATCACTTATTTTGAAAAGGAATTTCAGTACAGAATGAAGAATATACTTTAGCAGCAAAATTAAACCTCCAATTGTGATTACCATTTTGCAGAAGCACAGAGGTCCAGCTCAAGCCACAGCTGAAGCCCCTCACAGCCCCACTCACCTGGGCAAGCCCCCAAGGTCAATCTCACTGCAGATGTAGGGGCCTGGACGCAGAATCACCCACAACCCGATCTCTGCAGCCATCAGCACAAAGGCCCTAGGGAGGTCAGTGTCAGCAGCTCTCAAGACAAAGAGGGGAGGGTGGGGACAAGCCCAGCATCACAAGGTGGTGGAGCTGCCCAGCTCCTCTCCTCCCTCCCTTCACAGGCCCTGGGAGCTGGGTTCTCACCTGCTCCCAGCCCAGGACCTTCTGCACAGCCCCACTGGGAGCATAAGGAGGAAGGGCATCAAACAGGGTACGGGGGAGTCCTAACAGTGAACCTGACCCCAACAGCCTTGCGACCATAGAGGGGCAACCCCTGTCCCAGCACAGGCGGCTGGCCCACACTGCAAAGCAGGGCAGACACTGGGGATTAGGCATCTCTGGGCTGCAGTGAAGAGGTCTGGGCTCAGAGGAGGCAGACCCAGACCCCCAGGAGTAACAGGTTCATGGAGAGCATGTGGGTCCTGAGAACAAGGCTCCTGACCCGCCTCTCTCTGGTTCTCAAAGCAGAACCGAGATGGTCCCATGGTTCCTGATCAACCCCAAGGGGCCACCTCTCTGCCTCCCCACCCCAGGCCAGGCCATAGAAGCAGCAAGAGCACTTACTCCAGGTCCAGGTTCCCAGAAAAGTCAAATTTGCCTCTTTCTGGCTCATGGAGGTTCCATGGAACATAGCTGTAATAGATAATTACAGGAATGAGCTTTTCATTTATTCCACTTTGTCTTCTAGATTACCTTCTTTACCCCAAAACCCACTATGATGGTTGAAGATGTATTTCTTAGGTACACGTCTTAATGGTGTCAGGATTGGAACCAAGAACTAAGTGAAGAGACCTAGGGACCTTAGAGAATCCAGGGCCAGTCCCTGGGAGGCTAATACCTCATCTCCTTAGGAGAACGGAGAGAAGGCCAGTAAGATTTGGGTGAAGCATAAGATGTGACCACAGGTGAGCTTGAGCATGCACTCCCCCCACTTCCTCCCTCCCTCCCCATCTCTCCCACTTTTTCTTCATCAGAGGAAAAAAAAAAAGTAACTTAAAAGAAAAAGTTAAAAGTAAGATAAGAGGAAACCTCAGTGGTCAGTCCTATTTTTACTGAAGCAACCAAAATTCCAAAGAATTCTTTCCTTATATCTTCTCTTTAGAAGATAAGGAAAGGAAATAAGTTCTTTAAGGGGCCCAACTCAAGAGGCAGAGGTAACACAGCCGCTCCTCTCCTGGACTCCCACCCACCCTTGGCTTCCAGTGGAGCCCTCTCCAACTGTAAAGAATGTGCACAGGTAAAGGGGAAGGAGGTTTGCTTGCTTCCAATTCAGACTCAGGAGCTCCCTGTTGAAGAAAATACAGATTACCTAGCTTTTATAAGGTAAAATGCTTAGCCTGCAATATTCCCACAAGCTTCAGGAGTCCTGTGATGTGTGAATGTACCCCCAGGACCAGAATTTACATATGCAAATAAATGGATCCTTTTAAATACTCCTTCTGGAAAATCATATACATTTGTTTCATCTATGCTGTGATGGCCCAGAACATTCCTGTAATTCCTTTTAGAAATTGTCTTCAAAGCTAGCTCATGAACCACTCAAGAAAATCCACATCCTTGATCTGTAATCATATATTTTTGCCTGAAAACAGCTTTCCCAAGGAAGCTATTTTGAAAAAGATCACATTCATTTGCTGAATAAATTGGGGGCTGGAGTGCTTGCTTAAAAAAAAAGAAAAATTGGATAATTTAATCACCTCCTACACCTACACTCACCTCCTTCACTGTATTCCTTTGTATGCCATTGCTCTTTCTGTTCCTCTAAAGCTTATACATCCATCCTGTCTTCTCACCCGCACTAACGGGGAGTGCTGTGCAGGTGAGGGAAGGAGGCTGTCGAACACGGCAGACCTATGCAGAGGAGTGGGCTCCTCCTATGTTTTTCCCCACAAAGCTCAGCCTGAAGATTCTCTTCAGGGACAGCTCACGTTCAGGATCTGGCAGGGCTCCCCCCATCCTGACACAATGGAGACCTACAGTCTGGGGTGCCTTGAGGAAGCCCAGGACACAGATGCGACAGATGCCAATGCTTGGTGGTGGGGTGGGCCAGCACTCACGTGGTGAGGGTATTCAAGCCGCAGGCTTTCATCTTCAGCAAACGGTCCCTCCAGTATTCCTTAGGCACACGAAAATAGTGCATGGAGCCCCCGAAGATCCAGAAAGTGGAGTCCTCCAGCATGAAGTATTGGCCGTTGGCCTGCAGCCCTGACTGCCGGTGTCTTAGCCACGCAGGGAGCAGATTATACCAATCCAACCTGCAAAGAGAAAAGGCAGCCGAGAAGCTTGGCTCATCCTCAGCAGTGAGCAGGGGTACAGAGTCTTAGGAGAGAGGCTTTTTCTCCTCCTCTGCAGGCCCTCTGCGTTTCTAAGAGCTCCCGCTTCTGAGGCCTTCAGAAAAATTTCCCCACCCTCCGATTTAGCCAAACCTTAGAAGGAGTCTTTCTTCAGTATACTCACCTGCATCCCACTGCAGGGGAAGAGCAAGCTGAGGCCATAGTCAGGAACAAGACAAACACAAAGGTCAACATGAAAACTGTGTGCTAACAGGAGAGAGACGAGGTGGGGGCACACAGCATGGAAAGGGTATTCTCAGGGGCGTGCGGGGTGCCCAGGGCAGGTGTGGCACGCAGGTTCCTACAATGGCCAGCTTGTCCAGGCCATTTGACTAAGCATCAAAGAAGCAGCTATTTCAAATAGTACCTCTGAGCCGCCTCATGGTCATAGCTGCCCGGCCTGAGATGCAAGTACCTACAAGGAGGTATCTGAGTTAGAAACAGCATCTGTTCATTGACCAACATTCCAAGTATTAATTATTATCTAAAGATCAAGTTCAAGAGATAATCCAGCACAACTGAGAGCCCCACCTGGGAGGGCTGTTGGAAAGTGCTAGTCCCTAAAAAAGTAGGTCTTGGGGAGTCCCCTCAAACTGATCCCCATGACTAGAATTCCTTCCCTCTCTTCCCTCCCCAGTCTCCAAAGGCCATGGAGAAACCCAGCAAGAGACTCTGGGGGAGCCAAGAAATTTAGGAGTTTGGAGACAGAAAACACCGTGAGTGAGTCTGAGGGGAAAGCAAATTTCCGTTGGTGCCTTTTCGCACCCACTTTTCATTACAGTTCCTGACACTAGAGGGCGTATTGCCCCGCAGGGCTCTTCTGCATCAAAAAGTTCCCTAAACTGCTGCCTGTCGGTCTTTCCATTCATTTTGTAACACTAGCTAAAACTGTGCCACTGAGAGACATGCTCTGCTTAAGGCCCAAATTGCTCCACTCAATCCATATCGATACACACTGATGGGAGACTGTCGTCTCTCAGAAGAAACAGAGATGCAGGAGCCAAAATTAGGCTAAGAGCTTCAATCCTGATTCTGGATTCAACAATTCTGTGTCCTTCAAAGGGGCAGCTCCTTCACAGACCTTTGGCCTCCATGGGGACCAGGAGTGGAGGTCATGGGGGCAGAGGGCACATGCATGTCGCACATCCCGTTGCTGACTCTCCTAGTATGCTTATGGGATGAGCCATCCCTTCCACTCTCTCTCCATCTCCGCCACAGCCCTGTCCTCCTGCTGCGTCCTTTTCCTACATGCCAACCAGCTTCTCCTCCGCCTACAGTGCCAAGCGCTTCAGCTCGGAACATAAACGTGCATACCCTACACTGTAAAGCAGCCGGAGCCCTGCTATTGGTGGGAAAATTTTTAATGGCATTTAGTGAAAATCCACTGCAGGTGTGCATGCTCCTCAGGAAGCTGGCTCCCATCCTACCAAAGTTCCTCCGAGCCACAGACTTCACGGTCCCTATAAGGCATTCTGACACATACAGTCTTCTCCACCTCCATGCACACTCAGATAATTACAAGTCGGTGTCATGTGTGCCGCTGTAAGGCAAGCGCAAAGATAAGGCCAGGGCTGGCCTCTGGGGCATGTGATCCATGCAGTCCACCCAGGGCCCCAAGCTCAGAAGGCTCCCTTGCAACAAGTAGTTAAATAAGCCATAGAGATCTAATCCACAGTATGATGAATATAGACCATATTGTACTGTAATTATGTCATGTGATAAATTATTGTTACAGTGGCAATCACATTACGATATATAAATGTATCAGAGCACACACTGTACACATGATTTCAGACACACTATCTCCATCCTGAAATTCTCAATGTTTTTTAGACAGAGGCCCGACATTTTCATTATGTACCGGGCTCCACAAATTAGGTAGTGTGGCCTAGCAACGGCAGAGGACAGTAGCTGAAACACACACACACACACACACACACACACACACGTAATTGTCAAATGAAGAAATTATCTATATCATCCAGGCGGAGTCAGAGAAAGCTTCGTCCAGAAGATGACATATTCACGGATTTGAAGGCAGCGAATATAAGAAAGCAGAGGGAACTAGGGGCAAAAGCATTAAAAAGTGAAAGCATATCTACTCAGGGAATGGCAAGCAGACAGGTGAGGAGGCTGTGTGAGCACGCACCGCAGCCTGGGGCCCCTCCACAGCGTGGGCCTGGTGAGGGCACACACCGCTGCCAACCGCCTGCTAGTCTGCGACTGGTACAGAAACGGAGATAGTTTTAGAGCAATGAGGGTCATTTTATGTCTGTTGAAGCTCATCATAAAAGACTGGGGCATGTACTTTGTGGATCTCCTCATTTCCTTTTTCTAGTAATGCGTTTTCAATGTCTTTGATAAAGTAACATTGAGGGAAAAAAACTTTTAGAGAAGAAAAGGAAAATGATTCTTCAGCACAGAGAGACTGAGAAATATTCCTTGAGACCAGAAACAACAGTCTGGCCTCGGGCAGTTGTGATCAGAGCTGGGAGGACAAACATATTGACCAGTTCGGTTTAACAGGCTTAGTAACCAAATGGGATGCAGGACGCGTGAGACCAAAACGGTGTGAAATTGCTTCATCAGCAGCCTTCCCAGCACTTGGCTGAAGTCGGCTACACGACTAGAAGGGAGGTTTGGGTTTAGCCACCACGGTGGTTCTCAAAGCTGGCCCCCTATCTGAATCACCTGGGAAGCTTAAAACTAAGGAATGCGCAGGCCCCACCCCGACCAATTAATGACGGTGGAGGTGGACCCCAGGGATTGGTAGTTTTTACAAGCTCCTCCACAGATCCGGGTGAGGCTGAGCTCCTGGAAGGTGTTACAGGAGAGCTTGGGGGCAAATCAGGGACCCTGATGGCCAGAGATGGGAGAGCAGGAGGCCAAGAAGACAGAAGTGCCACAGACATCACTGACTGCTTGGAAATTTTGTTGACGGCCACTCACGGGCAAAAAAAATTAATTTGACCCCTCCTTCCTACTTCTCACAGCCTCCAGGACCCAGAACCCCTAGTGCTCTGCGGACTGCAGTTGTATTATATTACAGTTGAAATGGTCATTTGTGGATAGCCTGGGGACCTAATTATTGTTTTCTTTCTCTAAAGAGAAAAGTTCCATGTTCCAAGTGACTTAGAAAGGATATTTCAGAATACAGTTCTAGGGGCACCTGAGTAGCTCAGTCGGTTAGGCCCTGAGATCAAGATCTCAGGGTCATGAGTTCAAGCCCCGTGTTGGGCTCCACACTGGGCATGGCACCTACTTAAAAAATAATAATAATACAGTCCTTCCAAAGGACCACCTATATGGGGAAGCAAAAAACAAGAAGAGTATCTGTAAGGGGAGGATCTGGACATGATTCCTGGCCCTTCCCTTGTAGCATGGCCACCTTGGGTCAGGGACACTAGCTCTGTGGGCATGAGTTTCTTCCTCTGTGAAATGGGGTGCATGCCTGTCCTAACTGCTATGGACGTCAGATAGAAACAGAATACTCTGTAATATGCTATAAAAGAATTTTGTCGCTGTTTGAAATAAATTTATTTTTGCATGCTTTGCATATTAGAAAGAACAACCTCAGTGGGGTTTTTTTATGTCCTTATTATGGAATAATCCCAATTTTTCCATTCTTAACCATTTAATTTATTGTCTAATCATATTTTATATGCAAGATTTTGTACCATCTTATTACTATTTCTAAAATTTTGCAGTGAAAGTTCTATCCACCAGGATCCTGTCAAACCAACCCAGCAAACCCCAGGTGTGAGCCAAAGCCACCCTGCCTCCTGTCTTTGTGCAGCCAGCAAGCTACGCATGTCTTTCACATTTTTAAGTGGTTGGAAAGACGCCCAAAAAACAAGATTTGGGGGCACAAAAAATTATATCAACTTCACATTTCACATTTCAATGTCCATAAATAGTTTTACTGACACCCCGCCATGCCCACTCCTTTCAGTCCTGACTGTGGCTACTTTGGGGCACAGTTACGTTGCTGGGATAGACACTGCAAAGCTGAACACATTTACTATGTGGCCCTTTACAGGAAATTTTGCCAACCCTGCCTTAAAGGATGAGGCCTGGGATACTCAAAGGAGGCTTCAGGCCCCCCATGACCACTGTCGGGGCCTCCTAGCCAACTCCTTGGTCTGGCTCTTCTCACTAACCGCCCCCCACTCTTTCCTTTGGCCACAAGCTCCTGGTATTCTGGCTGTGTCTGAAGTCTCTCATACTGCAGCCACAGGAGAGTTTGGTCTCCCTTAGTTTTCACCATATCTGCTCCAAAGAACACACTCTACCTTCTTGCCTCATGGACTCACTAGACTACATACTCTCCCCACCTGACACCCCCAGGCATTCCCTCGGGTGCCCCACCCTCCAGGCTCGCCCCAGGCTAGAATGAGGAAGAACTGACGGACAGAGTCTCTTCTTTAACACAGGCGTATACTGATAGTCCAGTGGTGAAAATACACACATGCACACACAAAATCTCATTATTTTTAAAGACAGTGAAAATACAATTTAGCAATCACTCCACCGGGCAGCACTCCTTATTCACGGGCCAGAACTTCAAAAGAACAATCTCCAACTCACCAAGCTCACATCACAGACCTTAACTTTTGTTTAAGGTGTCTCCCAAATGCTGTGAGAGCCTCCCTCTCCCCACCCGCTCAGTGAAGAGGTGCAGACACGGTTGGAAGCGCACTCTGTGACCCCTTGTTCCAACATACTCCCTGCTAGTAACACACTCTCCCTAATCTGTCCCCTAACAGGTACCTAGTCATTAGGAAACCTCCTTCTGGGTTTATGTCTCCAGGTGTGGTCTGCACCTGCAGGGTATCTTCATCTGGAGTTTGCTACAAATGCAGAAACTCAGGCCTGAATTTGCATTTCAACCAGACCCCAAGGTAAAGTTTGAGAAGCACTAA